TGTATATTTTCATCAAAATTATTCGATTGTTTACAATTTGGAGAACCATATTTATGGAAAAAAAATTATTAAAATGTTATTTTTATTCGGAAAATAAATAATTTTGATTTTAACGGTTATTATTATTATTTTTTTTCTACGCAATCAAAAATCCAAATGAAATCTGCCATTTTGAAAAAAAAATCCACTTAATGTGTTCGCAAAGTACTACTGTAATCAATTAAATAATTTAATTTTCGGTTTTACATGTTGAACGAGTGAAATCCGTTGGAGAAATCATATCAATCACTGTTACCCCCTAACTATTTAATTATTTGTAATTTACCCTCGTCACTCAACCGTCATCATCATCATCATCATCCCTTTAATCACAATTTGAATTGACAGTTTTCCACATTTTCACAGTAAAATGTCATATTGGTAATTTAATATTCTACGGGTTTATAAAATATGAAAATTTTACACCGCATTCGCATAAATATATCACAAAAAAAAAAAAAAAAAAAAAAAAAAAAAACTAGAAAAGAAAACCTTTAATTTTTCATCGTTAAAAAAATTTAGAAACATACAAAACGGCCTTGAAGACTGAAAAATAAAAATAAAAATAAATGTTTTTATTTTGATTAGAGTGGTGTGAATAAAACTACTACTCGAGTCAAATCAATGATTAAATAATTAATTTACTTATTTTTTTTTTCCTTTTTTTTTTTTTGTTGACCCCGGAGAAATGGTTTTTACTCCCACTCCTCAGTAGAGGGAGTGTGGGAGTCGGTATGGAAAGAAATAAACCTAACCGGGGATCCCTACCCACTAAAACTCCTGGGAATGTCGCTATAGTGCGGCTTACGTGAAGGGAGGGGGATGCTCGTGAATGTGGAACCTACATTTCAGGTTCTTCCCTCTCCGATAAGCCAGAACGTTAACCGTTCCACATGATTACTTTTGGGGAATCCGCCCAAAATCCCTAAAAGAAAAGTGTCGAGTCCCACACTTTTTTCCCCCCGTGGTTGGTTAGGTACAGATCTGTCTCTTCGTATTTGGCCGAGGAGAATCGAAATCGAACTGCCACACATCGGCACAAAGTCCCTCGTAACCCTGAAGGTTGACGAAAACACCCGATTCGCACTATCGAAATGCTCTCGAAATCCACGACAAATCCGATCCGGACCCCACGACCAGAAACATCCGCTGCACCCGGCCTCCAAGTAGCTGGATTACAGGAGCACGCCACTAACTCCCGGCCTCCTTCCCCCCTTAAACTCAACATTTTACGATTTTTTTTAAAATTTGAAAATCGTTTCCGATTTTTTTTTTTTTTTTTTACTTCCGTTTTAATTTACTAAAGATATTTTAATGGGGAAATATTGTGATTTACGGGAAATCCCCGGAAAAACTTACTGATAACCTTTATACATGAACTTTATTCGAAATTTTAATAAAAAAAAAAAAGAAAATTTTTCGAAGAATTTTTTTCCACTTTTTTTTCTTTGGGGAGGGGGGGGGAAAAATCAGACATTAACAATATTAATTTCTGTTGTCTTCCGCTGTAAAAAAAAAACTTTTATTATATTTTACGTTTCATTTAGTTTTTAATAATTTAAGTAAAAGAATTTTTTTTTTGTATCTGAAACTAAAGTAAATGGAAAACAATTTTAAAAGTTTTCCTTGTGTTGTTTTTAGGTTTTTTTTTTTTTTTTTTGAAATCGAATTAAATTTCCGCATTTTCATTTTCCATTTTCCTTTTTCCTTTTCCTTTTTTATAAAGATTCATTGTAAAAAAAATTTAATTTTACTACAAAGGAAAAAAAACTTACTCACGTTTTTTTTTTTTTTCGGGGGTAAATTTTATATATATATATTAAATATTTATTTTTATCGTGGCAGAAAATAAATAAATCGATATCAAAACTCTAAGAATTTTATTTTAATATTGCCACGTTTTATTTAAATATAATAATTTAAAAAAAATTTTTTTTTCCTTATCTTGTTCAAAATTCGAACGTTTAAATTTTTTTTGTTTTTTTTTTTTGTTTCTTTTTCGAATTCAGGGTCATTTTTCGAAAAAAAAAAATTACGAAGCCATAAATGTTAAATATATACATTATTTGCTTTAATCCATTCAAGTTTCGAAAAGGTTAGAAAAGGTTAGAATTCATTTAATGGGTCCTTAACCCTGAAAAATAAAAAAATAAAAAAACCTTCGATTGGAAAAATTAAAATTTTTCTTTCCTGTTTCCTGAAAAAATAAAAATTTGATTCGTATTATTATTATTATTACTATTTGTTTTTAATTATAAATCGAAAAATGATTAATTATTATTATTATTATTATTATTATTATTATTATTATTATTATTATTATTATTATCATCTTCTTTTTAATGTTTAACTTGTGTCTCGTTCAAACGGTTTTTTTTTATTTAAAAAAATTATTCGATGTCGTTACTCTCACCGACAGCAGTTAAAATTACTGGAATTTCGTAAACCGACAAAAATTTCTGACAAACGTGGGAAAAAAATTTCAGGATGATTGATGACGTGTGAACAACCTACAGGAATCGGAAAATTTTTAAAAAAAATTTTCCAGGTTGTCCAGAAAGTTCCATAATTAAACCCCCTTATCGACAGGAACATTAATACCTTTTCTACGAATGATCCGTATATAAAACGGATTAAAATTATTATAATAAACTTAAAGGATTTTTTTAATTCGTATAAAATGTCAAAATATTTAAGGGTCAAAAGGTCAACGAACGTATAAAAATTTGATACGCTTTCATTATTAAAAAAAAAAAGAAAAAAGTAGAAAGGTTTAAACAAATTGTTAAAAAAAAGAAAAAGAAAAAAATTTTTTTTTTTCAGTCGTCGGAAAGGAAGGAGAAGGAAGGGGGAGGGGGAAGGAAGGATGAGACGGGGATGGAGGGAAGGGCGGAAAAGGTAAAAGGTTAAGAAAAAAAAAAGTAAATAAAATTTGCATGTTGAAAAATCGTTAAAAAACGAATTTCTTAGGTTTTTCTATTATTTTTTATTTATTCTCTGGAATTTAAACCTGACTGGAAAAATAGAAAAGGTAAAGAAAGGAAATGGGAACATAAAAGGAAAGGGTAAGAAACAAAAAAAAGGTTTTAAATTTTAATTTTTTTAAAAATTGGATTTCCTTTTCCCCCTTCCCTCCCTACTCTTCCCTCTTCCCCTTCCCCCTCCCTGGAATCGTCTGGATTTACTGGACAAATCTTTTTACTTAATTTAAATACAAAAAAAAAATTTTTTTTTCTTTCTCTTGCGAAACAAAAAAACAAAATGGAATCGTTTTCGTCGTCGTCGTACAAAAATTTTTTTATCGTGTAAATAGTTTTAAACACTAATGACACGTTTAAATTTATTTTAAAATTATTAAAACTGTGTTTAGTACGTGTAAATAACTAAAAAAAAATTTATTATTATTATTATTTTAAATTGCTAAAAAAAAAAAACATCAAAGAAAATTTTCCGGCTCGATAAAAAATAATTTCGTGTCAGAAGAATTTTCAAAAATTCATCATCATTTTTCACGAAATTTTATTCTATTTTTATACCATTTTTTTAAAATTAGCAGAAGATAAGGAAAACAAACGCAAAAAACGTATATATATACATTCGTTAATTAATTCGAATGAAACCGGAAATGAAATTAAATACGTTCGTTTAGAATTTTCCGTATTTACGAAAATTTTCTTTTTAACCTCGTTTTTCTTCCTTTATAAATAATCTTTCCACGTAATTCATTCAATCAATCATTCATTCATTCATTCATTTATTCGTACGTTCGTTTTCTAATAAAAATTTTATTTTTAATTATCCCGAGAAAAAAAAAAAAAATCGAAAATCTACGATTAGAAAACGATTTTTTCCTTTTATTGTCATCATTATTATTTCAATTTCAAATCGAATTTTCTAATAATAATAATAATAATAATAACAACAACAATAATAAAATATTATAAAATTTATATTAAAATTTAACAAAAAAATAAAAATAAATAAAATAATAGTAATAATAATAAAAAAGCATCTGGTATACTTAAATAATGTTATGATTCGTTAATATCGTCGTTTTATAAGTTTTTTTTTTTCATTCATTCATTCATTCATTCATTCGTTCGTTAGCGTTCGTGTGTGAATGAGTGAAGAATGAATGACTGAATAAATTCGCGGTCCAGCCTCGTCATAGAATATTTCATTTATCACTTTTTAATTAAATTTTTCATTTTATTCACGCATTTGTTCATGAAATTTTGCCTTTTCTTATTATTATTATTATCATTATCATTATTATTGTCTTCGGTGTTTGTTAATGACGTCATTGAATCACTGCACTCCGCAGAATTTTCTTCGGTGTAATCGGAATTTAAACGATCTTCGTAACTTTTTGATTTTATCGAATTTTTTATCGGGAAATTTTCTCGTTTTTCTCGTTTGTCGTTTTCGTTTTCGTCGTTTTCGTCGTCGTTTCCATCACGATCATCATCATTATTATTATCACGGGTAACATCCGTAGGTGTCGTTTTATTTAAATTGTCATCGCTTACGTTTAAATTGTTGTTGTTTTTGTCGTCATCGTTCGAATCCCGTTTTTTCAGGTACGTTTGATTATCGACAATGTACGATTCTTCGGATGGTGCATCGAGTAAACCGTCCAAACTTCGTGATCTGTTTCCGCCGAGGTTAGATTTTGTATAACTTGTCGGTAATTTCGGCGGCGTCGAAGATTGTGCAGAACTCCTTCGGATTCTTCCCTGAATCATTTGACGATTTTTACTTTTTGGACTTGTCGGAGGACGACCCGACAGCCAATTTTTTTGCGGACTTGCAGTGTTTCTCAGCCTTAATCATAATAAAAAAAAAAAATTTTTTTTTTTTTTTTGTTGCGATTGCGAAATAATTTTTTTTTTTTTTAAAAAAAAAAAAACGATATTCAATACTTACGTTTTTAATTTAGCTGACGAGGCTGGGCCGTCTAGTCATTCTTTCGATCCCCCTGAATTCCCTCCCGTTTCTTTGTCGCTTCCTTTACCGTTACTATCATTGCTAAGCATTCTTTGATAATTGGGTGGTTGCCTACTTATCGTGCTCGGCGTGCTCGGTGTCACGTCGCCCTTTCCAATACCCATTCTTCCTTGATTCACCATGGATTCTCCTTTCATAAATCTTTCCAATTTATCAACGCAAGCATCTTGATAATCGTGAATCCATCTCACACCGTTAAAATGACATACGGCTCTCATATCTTCCGGTAATTCTTCCGGATCCGGCCATTGAAAATTATCTATTATCGGTATTATATTGCACTGCGATTGAAGAGCAGCAACTATTTCCTATATCGACAAAGAAAAGAAAAATTTATTATTTGAGAAAATCTCAAAACGTCGGTCGGGATTTATGTCGTCACTCACCCTGTGAACCCAGTCTTTACAATCGACATCCGCTATGCACCTTTCCAAAGCTTTAGGAGTTAAAACCAAAAGGAAAAATTTAGCTTGACGAATGCTTTGTAATAAATTATTATCGAATTTTCCAGCTTCGAGCCTTTCCACGTCAATGAATACCGTGAAACCTCGTAATTCTAAATGAACCTTTAATAGACTAGCTAATTGCGAGCCGTTCGATCTTCTATAACTGACGAATACGTCTAAAGATTTATCGAGATTTTCCTCGCTCGAATTCACTATGTTATCTTCGAGTACTGAAATTAAATTTTTCCTGTCATTTCGCCATTATATTAACTGAACCATCGATGACGTTGGTACACCTGATACTTGTTTACTCACCTTTTATGGTATCTAATATTCTTAACCTATGAATGCTGTTTGCAATACCGCATTCCTGAGTCAATTGTTCTTCTTTTAAATTTCTCAACGAATCTCTGTCGACTCCCGCGTTAAGCATGGAATATGTGTATATTGGAAATTCGGGTCCGATGGTTTGTAAAAACGAATTTAAATTCGTCGTGTCTTTACTACTGTAATCCGCCATTTTTTTTAAATTTTGTAATTCTCTCGTAAACCTGAAACAATTTCATAAAAGAGAGAGAGAGTGAATTGGATTATTGGATATGAAAGAGTATGAATAAAACAACAATTTGTACCGTTTTCTTCTTATTCCGTTAGCTATTCCGATGTCGTCTCTTAAATTATTTTCCGTGAGTTGAAGTAATAAATCTCCATCGACTCTACTTTCGGCAAAATTAGATGCATATTCGGCAAATCCTATTTGTTTGACCCATTCTCGCACGTCTTCGGTCGACCATAAAGGCACTTGTTGACTTAGTTTATGAGGCACTTCTTCTCCGATCAATCTCAGGGCTTGTGCTGCGTATTTCGATGCCACCGCGTTGGGACAACTCGCACATTTTTTCAAAGGTTCTATCGCGCCTATTTCTTCGAATATTTCCGTGTTTCCTTGCTGTTGTTTTATACCGGCTTCCATGCAAAAATGAAAAGCTGCTAAATTTCTCGCTTCTTCTCTTTTCGAACTGAGTACCGGAACTAGTCTTTGTAGCCAGTGTTTGCTCTGACCGTGAGCGTGTGCCAAATTCGATTTTGCAAATTCGCTGGGATTATGAGATGTCACGAAGGGTTCTACCAAGTCTAAAGTACCAGATTTTAACACAGCCGCTTCTATTTCTTTATTAGCCACGAGTACGGCTATTGCCAAACACGCGTAATATTTTATGTTATCGTCGTTGTGAAAAGCGAGAGGAAACAGCCACATGGGAACCTGAAATCACATGATGAAAACCATTCATTTTTTTTTTTTCACAATTACATTTAACGTAAAAATTTTTTTAAATTTTAAATTCGATATATACCTTTCTTTTGATCATGGCTTCTTGATTTTCTGCTCCACCGTAAAGTGAAAGGTTAGCTAAGGCACTCGCACAATGCCTCAAAGTTTCCACGTCGTTTTTTCGACATTCAAACAAAACGGCATCCAATCCACCCAATCGGATAACATCGCTACAAGTTCCTTCGCTATGCTTAAAAAGATGTTCTAAAATACCCGTTCCTACTCTACAATGTTCGTTATTTACATTTTTTGTACAAACGCAAGCAACTTTTACTACCTAGAATCAATAATAATAATAATAATAATCACTATTCGTCTTCTTCTTCTTTCATTTATTTAAATGAATGTCTCACCTTTTCCAAACCGTTTTCTACAACGTGTGCACGATTTTCCGTCGTAAGACATTGTTCCAATAACCTAGCACTTGAAAATTGTAAATCCTTATCGGCGGCAACGCAATGAAACATAATTATATCTAATCCGCCACATTTTCTAAGGGCATCGCAGAGAGAATACCCTAATTCGTGTCCGTGTGTGGGTACTTCCCATGCTTTTCGTATCATTTGATTTATACGATTTAAAATCTATAATTACATTTAAATCAAAATTAATAAAAATAGAGAGAGAGAGGGAGAGAGGCGAAAATGATTTCTCATTCACTCACCTTAGGTGTTTTTCCTAACGAACCATTATTAGCTCTAAGAATTTGTACGAAACCGTGAAGAAGACTCGAATATTTTCTAATTGCAGATTCAACCTTTTCCGTACTAGATCTAGAATCTAACCTTTCGAGATCTTCAAATCCTAAAGCTAAAAGTTCTTCTTCCGTTTGTTTGGCTGCCATATTTGGTAAAGAATGAATCTGTAACAATACACCCACACATGTATTAATATCACAACTTATTATTATGATTAATATAAAAAAAAAAATTATTAATATCACTGCAAATTGTCATGATTTTTTATCATACCTGAGATGATGAGATCACTGACTTAGAACTAACGCCTTTTGACGTGATTTTATAATTTGATTGTGAAGTTTGTGCCACGTGTTTTGATTCATGATTAAATATTCCTGACGATGTAACTGTTTGTCGCTGCTGTTGCTGCGAAATTGCCTGTGTTAAAAAATGTAATTTTTAAATAATAATTTACAAACAAACAAACAAATCAAAGTTGAGAGAGAGAGAGATAGAAAATAAATTCGCTACGCACAAAATTATTATTATTTTTTTACCTTTTCACTACTAAACGCTTCCGTTTGCATTTTCACACTTGTTGCAGTCATGTTTTGACTTTCTTCTTGTGAAATCTGATCAACAGTGAGCATCCTTTGATCCTAGAAAATATAATTTAAAACATTTTTTCTCTTTCTTTCTCTTTCAATTAAAAAAAGTAAAAGGAAAAACAAATAATAATAATAATCACGAGACTAAGCAAAGTAAAAAAAAAAATTTTTTTGCCGCGACAGCATCAAATTTTTTTTTTTTATTAGAGAGAGAGAGAGAGAACACGTACGCAAGATTTTTTATATATAAAAATTATTATTATTATTATAGAAAAATATTATTCGAAGTAAACAATCGATGACAATGATCGAAAAAGAGAAAAATAAATCGGATGATTTATTAACAAATCCGTGACGATTAATATAATTAGCAGCAAATGGCGGATATTATTTACGACGGTTTAATCCTATTATTTACTTATATGGAATCTCGCGATACTAATAATAATAATAATAATAATAATAATAATAATCATAATAATAATAATAAATTTATTGTGAAATAAATTATAATATAAATTTTATTTATTTATTTTTTTTTTTTTTGAAAATTTTATTTCAATAAAATATATATACAAGCATCGGAAAATTTTATCGGATTTTTTTTTGCTTGCTTGTTTTGTTTTAAAAATTAACAACGGATTTAATTAAAAATTTTGTCTGTCGAAATTTGTTTAAGTTTGTTATTTTAATTATAAAGTGGAAAAATTAAAAAAAAAAAAAAAAAAAACGCTGTCGGTTTCGTAGAAAACAAACAGAAAAAACCGACAGATTCGATCGATCCCCCTTTAAAAAATAAATAACGACGAAATTTGTCAATTTCTCGAAAATTTTACCTTTAAACTAAGATTTTAATGACGTCATTTGTAATTTTTTGATGTCACTTTTTGTGGTAACGACGTTCGTCATAAGTTAAATAAATTAATAAATTATAAATTATAAGTTAAAGGGATGAAAAAAAAAAAATTTTCTTCCGCCCTTTCTGTTTGTTTGTCGTACAAACGTACGAACGTGCGAACGAAGGCATACATATAATTATTAAGTGTTAAAAAGAAAATTTTTTCTGGAAAAATCATTTTGACACGACAATCACTTACGTTAATTACTTAATAATAATAATAATAATAATAATAATAATAATAATAAGATGACAATAGGTTAAGGTTTAACGTGACATTTTTTTTCTTCTACCCATCACATACAAGAAAAACAAAAAAAAATTTCTTTCATTATGAAGATGCAGTCGAACGAAAAAATAATTTATTATTATTATTATTATGGAACAATGAACGATCGGAATAATTTTTTTGTTTGTTTGTTTGTTCGTTTGTATTTTTCCATGTAAAATTGTATTCCTACGCAGGTAAATAAATTTTTCCGGTCATGTATGGGTTTGTCGAATTGATTACAACCTTGAAAATTTTTACTCTATTATTTATTTCCATACCGATTCCAGTTCGCCCACAATGTTTACTTATGTTTGTTTTGACAATCAAACAGACAACAACCAAAAACAATAATAATAATAATCGTTTTAAATGTGACAACGTTCGACGAGGTGATTACAAAACGAAAAAAAATTTTGATTTACGACCGACCCTAAAACTTTATCCCGTTTTAATCCAGACGAATCATTCGTGAATTTTTTTTATTTCCCTACCGGATATTTAAATAATAATAATAATAATAATAATAAACGGTTTCATTCATTCGTTACAGGAAATTAATTCGTTCATATCGGTTTTTTTTTTTTTTTTAAATTTGACCCCTACCTGTGTAGGTCACGGTGGTATGAAAAATTTCGTACATTGGGTTATTGCAACGTAATTAAAAAATTTAATTAGGTTTTAAATTTTTAAGGACGCGATAAACACGCCGCCATTATGTTTTTTTTTCAATATGGAGTCGATTTTTTTTAAATAAAAATTTCCAAAATCCGTTTTGAAAAAAATAATTTCGTTTGGTATAAAAACAAAATGGCGAAAGTTCTACACAACAACAAATTTATTGAAGTAAAGCTTTGTTTTTATTATTTGTTATTATCATTATTATTTTCAATTAATAAATTTTTTAACCGTCATTTTTTGTTTGAGAATGGATATCCCAAAACGCCCCGCCTTCTACCCCCCCTCCTCCTTCTTTTTATGCCATTTTTTTTTTTTTTTTAAATTATTTGAATGAATTTCTTTTTTGTTGTTGTTGTTGTTCTTGTATGCTGCTCATCTTTTCTGCCCACATAATCATTTCTTAGAATTTTTTGTCTTATCATTGCTTAAAATTTTTAAACGTTTAAGCAGTATACTAGTGTTCAATACTCCTACGACAATGAATTAACAACATTATTGGTCAATATCTTCTTTCCTTCTTTCTTTTTTGCTATGTCGTTAATATTTTATTGAAAACGTTCATTTGTTTTATTGTTTCCTTTTTTATTTTTTTTTACGAGTGTAATTAATTTATACCATCAATTAATTTTTAATTGAAAAAAAAAAAAAAAAAAAAATTTCATCATTTTTAAAAACACTCACCCATCTATTATTATTATTATTTCTTTGTAAAAAATTTCCTTCCAGAAAAGAGTTAATTTTTAAATTTAACGATTGTAATGTATCACGTTTGATAAATATATTAATAAATTTTTCAAAGTTCATGTTTTTTTTTGTTTTTTTTCGTTTATCAGTTTGCCAACATTGGAAAAATAAAAAAATAAAATTTTTTTTTCGCACGTGTAAAAGGAATAACCTTTCGTACCTTTCCCTACCACCCAACGAATCCCTAGAATAAAGTATAATTTAAAAGTAAAAAGAATTATTATTATTAATTCCACGCAAAGACAAACGATCGATTTTACTTTTGGAAAACAAAAAAAAAAAAAATTGACCTTTGACCTTCTTTTTTTTAACGCGTTTTAAACAAACAACAGCGTGTCACGTTTTTTTTTTTTTTTTTTTTTTAAATTGTTTTACTTAATTGTGGCAAATTACTTAAAAAAAAAAAAAATTTGCTTTGGTGTCAATAAACGCTAGCAAATAATATTTTCCGCCGGAAAATTAATAAAAGATTTTCCTTATTATCGTTATTATTTGCCATTTTTCTTCCAAATAGCAAAATTCGATTTTTTTTTAATCATTCACGCGCACTCACACACACGCACACACGTTTATTTATTTTTCGTATATCTCTCCCCCTCCCCGCGAAAAAAAACGCGGGGGAAAAATGTGGACGGAAAATGTACGCGATTATAACTAAACTAAAACCTATCGACTAAAGAAAAGCTTTAAAAAAAGGGAAGATAGAAAGAGGAAAAAACGGGGGGGGCATACAAACGAAAAAAAACTAACCCCCCTTTCTTTCTTCCCTTGTACACGACAGCGACGGCGCTGTCGCTTCCCCCCTCCTCCCCTACTTTTACCGATTTCCCTTTTTTTTTTTTTTTTCCATGGTAGCAAACAATTATTTCGAAATAAATAATTTTTCCTTTTGGAAAATTTTTTATTTTATTTCCACGGAATTGTTTCGACAAAAAAAAATTTGTTTTTGCCCCCTAAAAAAAAATTCTTTTTTTAAGGGTGTGGTTTTGTTTTTTTTCTCAAACGTCATGTCGTCGAACTCATTATTATTATTATTATTGTTTTAAACAAACGCAATTAATTTATTTTCCTTTTGTTTTTCATCCCTTAATTCGAAAAAATATGTTTTTGTTTTTTGTTCCATCATCAATCGATTTCTTTTCTTCAAAAATTCATGAATGAAATTACTAGCAGACGAATGTGTTTGTGTCACGTGTCCTCGAATAAGACGCTTTTTAAAAAAAACCGCGATTTCGTTAACGGTTTTTTTCCTTTTTTTTTAATTAATAATTTTTACTTTTATGTAATTAATGAATTTAAAATTTTTTTCAATCCGTTCAGGACCCCCGTAATTCTCCCCAGGTAGTTGAATAATTTCAAGGTAAATTTTTATCCTTTTTTAATACGTCGTATTGAAAAAAAAAAAAAAACCGTCAACGGATTTTAATAATAAAAAAAACCATAGAGAATAAAAACAAAACGTTAAAAAACGTTTAAAAAAAATCGTTTTTTTTTTTTTTTTTTAAACTCCGTGATCATATCTATTCGCAAAATAATAAATCACGTCAATTTTAATGTTGTTAATGATGATAATGATAATAATAATAATAATAATAATAATAATATATAATAATAATAATAATAATCGTAACACGTGATTTAAAAAGAAAAAAAAGTGAAAAATCGATCGTTTTTTTTTCTCTCAAGTGTTTCAAACAAAAAATATTATTTATTGATTATTTTTTTTTTTTCCTTAATCGATTATTTCTTCTTCTTATCGTGACCCGAATTTTAGTTTTCGAAAACTTTATAAATAATAATAATAATAATAATTTATTAAATGTGGTTTTCATCAAAAAAAAAATTTTCTTTGTGCTGAAATTATTATTTAACTTAGGCATAAGAATAGAAAAGAATTTTTTTTTTTTTTTTAATTAAAATAACGCAAAAGTTGGCAGCCTTGCGACGTCGTATTGAATTCTTACAACGATTGTAAATTATTATTTTTTTTTATTAAATAAACAAAGAAAAAAATTTCTTTCTCTTTTTGCTCAACGTCGATGATTATTTATTTGATGATGGCGGGCGAGAACCATCAAATTGCAAGAATGCCAAACGAAAATAATTTTTTTTTTTTAAACATCATAAATAAAATGGCGACTGATTTTTAAAAAAGAAAAAAAAGATAATAATAATAATAATGATTAGTATTATTTGAAAAAAATTCACTCACCTGTTTGACGGCCGTTGATTTTTCAGCCGTGACTCCTTCGATATCCAACCTTGACCTTAAAGCAGATGAAGCAGCTGCCATTTGTTCTTGATAGGTGCTCACGTCGGATGAAGTCTGAACTCTCTTTATTTCTGACGATGAAGAATTTTTCGAAAGGGATTTATCCGATGTGAAACTATCGGAAACAACTTCCGTTTTACTCGCGGAAGATGTCGTACGTTTTTCTTCGAATGTTTTCACCGTTTCCG